TCCAGAATGACACCAAGTACTCTGGCCTGCGGGGCGGGTTTGATGGTGGCGTTGTTGGATGTGACGGAGAAGTCAATGGGGGGTGGTGTCCGGGCTGCTGGGGGGAAGACAAGAAACTCGGTTTTGGAGAGGTTCAGTTTAAGGAAGTGGCGCGACATCCAGTCTGATATGTCGCTCAGTAGGTGTGTGATTCGTGGGGAAATTCCTCATCAGACACTGAAAAACGATTTTGCGACTTTGTTCAGTTATGTGCGAACTTGGTGCTATATTTCAAATTTCAGTGTTTTTGGTTTGATTATATGATTGAATTAAATTTATTCTTATTATTTTTATGATTATTTATTAAATTGTAATTTATGATTTCGTGTTTAAAATTTTATCATACCCGGAATGTTTACTAGACTCTTGTTCGGACAGATTTCAGTGAGTTATTCCTAAAAATTAAAGGCCTACAATAAAAAAACTACATATTTCCATGCAAAAAAATGTACCGCTTTCAGCACAGAAATATGGACATAATCAGATCGCTAGGGAGGTTAGGCTGGCCATACACTATACAATCTGGTTGAATAATTTACAAACATTTAACCCTTGCCGTGTGAGGAAGGGGGCCTACTGCAAGGGTAGATTTTGTTAATTCCCTAAATTCAGCTTAAATAAAGGACATCCAAACCCCAAAACAACAATGTAATAGATTGCAGCCTTCCACTCCTTAGATGAGGTGGCTGCATTAGTTTTTATTTTCCAAACTTTTTTTTTAATCTGGACATCCTACTAGTACCACACTTGCTGTCCTAGGGTGACTGCACTGTATCTGTGAAAGAGAGGCATTGTCACTCTAGGCTGCTCTTCTGACTTGGACTACAAACACCTCCCCTTCTTCTTATCTCCATTACAGAAGGGGCATTCTGCAGTCCACAGATGATAGCTTGGAAAGATGACAACATAGTTTCAGCTTTTGGTTTGATGTACAGGAATTTACAAGGACACAACATTTCTGGCAGGATCAACAGGTATTTTTCTGTACTTGGAGAACATTTACTCAGACTGAAAACAGAACACAAATGCAGCCACCACATCTAGTAGACTGGTGAGGTTCAATATAACACATTTTCATTCTTGTGTTTGGATCTCCTTTGTTTAACCCTTTTGCTGCCACTGACATATGTCATCCGTCAACAGCAGCGGAGAGTTTTACAAAGACTCCCAGTTGTAAATCTGACAACAAGCTGACTTTTAGCTAACAGGTGGAATCGATCTTGTGGCAGTACAGCCACCTGATTGGTTCCATGAATCCCCTGTAGTGGACCACTCCTTCCTTCACCATGTTACACAGGCTCTGCTCCCCAACGTGTGGACTCGAACTTCTCATTTTGGGCATTGTTGGGTAGATGGGATGGGGACCAGTGAGCATCCTTTACTGATCTTAGCCAGAATGCACACTGCAGCAACATGAACTACATCACTTTTGGGTTCGGCTGTCAGTTTTCCTGGTCACTGTGGCTGCAGAAGAAGCTAATGGAGCCTAACCTGTGCACCATTAGCTACAGTGGAAGGCAGGTGACCATAGACCCTGATGCCTCATTCAAGAGAACATTTTAGGACAAAATGCTGTCACACGTAAAAACTTAAAATTACACCCAAGAGCTTAAAAAAAAAAGCAAAACACTTTCAGTACACACTACCCCCATGTAACGCACATATGAATGTAAACATAGGCGCCTCTGCGTCACACATGTTGCATAATGCTGTACATGCTGAAGTGAGAGCAATAATTCCATGGCCATTATTCACAATGAAAGTGTTACTAAACCCAGGACCCTGCATTCACTATATCTGGTCTCCCACAGTACATACAACATGGAAGTGCAATTATTTTGGTAAATATAAACTGCTAAATACTTTTTCCCATCAGCAGTTAGAGCAGTCATGTGACTTCTATCAGTGTTCAGCAGAGCACTAGCTAAAGCTTGTAGGAGTTTTCGTTCTGCTCTAGGAGGATGCAAAACCCCTGACCTCTGATCACTGCTGATTGGCCCTGTGCTGATCACATGCACTCTCCCAAGAAAAAAAAAAAAAACCTCTCTAGCAATACACACCAAACTGAGCATGTGCAAAATGCCTACGGTTCAGTCTGTCTTATCAGGAGATAAGAGGTGGTCACTTGAAAAAGGGGAGGAACAGAGAAGACAGGATCAAACAACCTTTTTACACAATGACAGAGGATTAACCCCTTAGGTTTCACAGTGAGTATAACAAGCATGCTTTACTGTATATACACACTGACTTTACTATTGTGGGTTTAGTAACACTTTAACTGATGACCTGTAGGGGCTTTTAAAGTGTCACCTATGGAAAAAATAATAATTTTTGCACACTGAACAACATTTGTTTGAGAAAAACATGATATACTTTTAATATTATTTATTTTTAGATTCTTGTAGTTCACAGTATTTCATTAAAGAGGAGCTCCAGGTATTGTGAAAAAAATCCAAAGCCAGCAGCTACACTTAGCAGTCCAGGGATCCAGCGTTGTCATCACCCAGACCAGTTCTTTGCCGGTCTTCGGGTCCCCAGCACTGGCACCTTGAGTGTGGGAAGCTGGCCGTGACTTCCTTCCTGCACGCTTACAGTCAGCTTCCCATTGTGTATTTGCGGTACGTGCTGCGCTTTGTGAATGGTCCCGCAGTCTCCAGGGAAATGTGATGTATCCCAGGAGGTTGCAGGTTGGGGGAAGCCAAACCTCTGCTAGGCTTGCCTAGAGGGAGCGGGTACAGGGCCAGAAATAGATACCTGTACCCGGGGAAAAAAAAAAATTCCCAATGCAAGAGGATCAGCGAAATGTCCCTTGTGAGGTGAAGATCCACTTTAAGGCTAGGTTCACACCTATGAAGTTTGCGTTTGATCCATTTCTGCAGTGCTTTTTTGCTGTGCATTTTGTGCTTTTGCACATGCGTTTTGATGCATTTTGCTACGTTTTGCTGTTTCTTTTTTTTTTTCAACTGCTTACTGGGCAGAATAAAACAAAAAATGCATCAAAAATGCATTACATGCTTTTCTGCAGCATCTCCATTGAAGTCTATAGAACCAAAAAGGCAATGTTTTGCATTTAAAAAAGTCCCTGAACCTTTCCAAAAAATGCACCGGGTGAAAATGCGGAGATGTGAACATGTCCCATAGGAAATCATGTTAAATAGACTGTACTACGTTTCCGCAAAATGAAAAATGCAGTGGAAAACGTATAGGTGTAAACCTAGGCCTGTTCACATGATATGCATTGGGCTGCACTGAGCAGCCTTGCCCATCATATTCACAACACATAGACAAGGCAATTAGGCTGGCCATACATGGGTTGATTTCCAAACGATTTTTCGTTCGAACTTAAGAATAATCGGCCGATTTTTGCTCTGTTAGTGGGGCAATGACACCAGCCGATTTTTGTGGTTCCTCCCCATTTCGTTTATCGGGCATGCTGAAAAATTCGTGAAAAACGACTGATTTTCTAAATCATTGGTGGCACCATCGGATTACAGAATGAACAATGTTTTCGATTTTTGATTGAAAAATCATATGGAATTCGACCCATGTATGGCCTGCTCTAGCCTTGAGTCCCAGGAGTTCAATTCATACCATTGTGCTGCACTGAAAAACGTAGCAAATGCAGCACTTTTTTCAGCACAGCGTGTCGTGACGCAGTAATCCTCATTCCAACCCACTGCATGAATAAATATGAATTTCAATAAAGTTAAAAAAAATAAACAATGCTATGTCTAATTTCTGATGCATTGCCACTGTTCCTTCCACAGTGCACACCAACAGCCACGTTATACTGCAGCTTCTTTTGTGTACTTTTGACTTTGTTTTTCTTTTCTTTATGTATTTGATCATTATTTGCATTGTTGCTTTAAAGTGGTTCTAAAAGCAGAAGGTAAAAAACTTAGGTGCAGCTCCCCCCTCAGCCCCCCCCCCCTTATACTTACCTAAGCCCGATCTCAATCAAGCGATGTGCATGAGAGCCACGGCTCTCCCGGGTCTCTCCCTCCTTATTGGCTCTCACAGCAGCAGGAGCCATTGGCTCCTGCTCTTGTCAATCACAGCCAGTGAGCCAATAGGGAGAGAGTGCGGAGGGACTGAACTACTGTGTGAATGGACAATGTCCTTTTACAGGAGCATGGCTCAGAAGCCCCCATAGCAAGAGGCTTGCTATTGGGGCTGTTCGGCAGGGGGGAGAAGTCAGGGCCATTCTTACGTTGGTCCAGCTTGGCTTGATGTAAGTATCTGTGTTAGAAGCTTTCCTTAACCTAATATCTAATATCTTCTTATTAACAGTACTAACATAAGTATGAATGAGTTGGATCTTAACCTCCCTGGCGGTATGATTATTTCAGATTTTTGGTGCTGAAAGCGGTACCATTTTTTTGCATGGAAATATGTATTTTTTTTATTGTAGGCTGTAATTTTTAGGAAAAACTCACTGAAATCTGTCCGAACAAGAGTCTAGTAAACATCCCGGGTATGATAAAATTTGAAACACAAAATCATAAATTATAATTTAATAAATAATCATAAAAAAATAATATAAAAATAATAAAAAATTTAATTCAATAATATAATCAAACCAAAAACACTGAAATGTGAAATATAGCGCCAAGTTCGCACATCTCTGAGCAAAGTTGCAAAATCGTTTTCAGTGTCTGATGACGAATTTCCCCACGAATCATTATCACTCAATTCTGCAAGTGGTTCTGATTTACTATCGCTGTTCTCTAGCTGATCTAAACCGCTTTTGACCTAAAGGGACACTTTTTGGACGCCATGGACATTTCTCAGTTTCCAGGCAGAAAGAACAGACAAAATGCAGGCAGGGCACAGGACAAAGCACTAGGGACAATATGTATGAAAATTGGTTGAAACAGCAATGTTTTACTATGAAAAATGTAAAAAAAAAAAAAAAAAATGACATTTTTTAAAATTTTTAAATTTCCCGCCGCCGGCGGCGGCGGCGCCCGTACGTCCCGACGTCACAGGGACAGGACACAGAAGCCGGATGCCGGCATCGGCCGGAGGAGATGGCCGGGGACGCTGCAGGGGACACATCGTGGGAGCGCAGGGTAAGGTAAGTGAAGACAACATGCCGGAGCAGTGCCGCAGGGTAAGCCCGAGTGTAGCTCGGGGTTACCGCTTTTGGTACTGAAATGTTACCCCGAGCTACACTCGGGAATACCGTCAAGGAGGTTAATAGAATAATTGAGTTATTATATTTATATTTGTTCTAGATTGGGAAAAGTAAGTAATTAGACTTCATAGTCTGTGAATATACATATGAACATATATCTTGGGTTTTTCCTTTACATTCAAGCCACATATGAGAGTAATTAGCTATACCTTCCCCCATCCTCCCCCATCTATGTAAGAGATAAAGTTACACTCAGACTTTGAGAGAAGTAGATTGGATGTTTTGTTTTAATACCTCTGTTGGTGTCAATTATCTTAGTGGGACTACAAGAGAATACCAACCCACTTTTAGGAGATGGTGGGAGATGGTGAGCAGAGACACCGCTCTCTCCTGGTTCTCCTCGTACCTATCCCGACGCTCCTTCAGTGTCACCTACAATGGTGCCACCTCCCCCTCACTCCCCCTCTCTGTTGGGGTCCCCCAGGGCTCTGTCCTTGGACCCCTTCTCTTCTCCATCTACACCTCCTCCCTTGGCAAACTCATACACTCCCACGGCTTCAACTACCATCTCTATGCTGATGACACTCAAATTTACCTCTCCACCCCTCACCTCACCTCCACTTTCTCCGCCCGCATCACTCACCTCCTAAACGACATCTCTGACTGGATGTCGCTCCATTTCCTCAAACTCAACCTCTCCAAAACCGAGCTTCTCGTCTTCCCTCCTGCCGCGCCCCCCCCCCCATCCTATCCATCACTACTAACATCACCACCATCAATCCCGCCCCGCAAGCCAAAGTCCTTGGAGTCATTCTGGACTCTAACCTCTCCTTCCAACCTCATGTCAAATCACTTACAAACACATGCAGACTCCACCTCCGCAATATCGCCAAAATACGCTCCTTCCTTACCCCAGACACCACTAAACTACTTGTGCACTCCCTGATTATCTCACGCCTTGACTACTGCAACTCCCTCCGGCCTACCCCAGTGCAGGCTCTCCCCGCTTCAGACCATCCTCAACTCAGCGGCTAGACTCATCCACCTCACCACCCGCTCCACCTCTGCCACCCCCCTCTGCCTCTCCCTCCACTGGCTCCCTATCGCCCAACGCATCAAATTCAAACTACTCACTCTGACCTACAAAGCCATTCACAACACTGCCCCTAACTACCTCACCAACCTGATTCCCAGGTATCACCCTACCCGTACCCTTCGCTCTTCACAGGACCTCCTTCTATCTTGCTCCCTGGTCTCCTCCTCACACGCACGTCTGCAAGACTTCTCCAGGTCCTCCCCCATCCTCTGGAACTCACTACCCCAATCCATCAGACTGTCACCTTCCCTCCTCACCTTCAGGCGCTCCCTGAAAACCCACCTCTTCAGGGAAGCCTACCCCACCCTCACCTAACTGCTGCTCTCCTTCATTCCTCCTACCACTCCATCCCCCACAGCCACTTCCTCCTGTACCACTACCCCCTCCCTCCTAGATTGTAAGCTCGAAAGAGTAGGGCCCTATAACCCCTCATGTGCTGTTTGTAGTTGCTGTAATGTTTCATGTATTGTCCCCCCCCCTCTATTGTACAGCGCTGAGCAAACCCTTTGGCGCTATATAAACTCAATGTAATGTAATGTAATGTAATGGTGGGGGCTGGATTGCTCTTTCAAGAGCAGAACAAAGGTTTGAGTTTCACTCACTCTATATAGAAGCCCTTTATGCGACAGACATACTCACACAAACACACACATATACATATATACAATCTTATTATCAAGAACTTAACTATATTTTTTTGGACTTTATTTAAACATTCTGTATGCCAATATTTTACAAAATATGAAATCAAGCTTTCAGGAGAAGTAAAAGTCTGCAACAGATGAATCGTCGGCATAATCGAGAACCTAAAAGCAGAATTGGTGAGAATTTTGCGCAATTGCAAGAAACGCTGTTCCTTGGTGATGTCATTTCCCGCCAAGAGAGAAAAGACACGTTATGTAAAGAAAGACCTTCCTAATTGGTAAGTAATGGATTTTATTGATGAATTATCTAGAGAGAGTAAGTTAGAATTCAAGAATCTGTCTACATTTGTTAAAGATGATGAACTTTGGCGGTACATGTATAATGAATGCTTACAGGCTAATATTAAGATAGAAAAATCTAAGTTTTCTTTTAAGAAACTGAGCAAACAAGTTAGAAATGTAATGAAGTTAGTTAATGTTTTTAACGCCATGATTTTTGATGTTCCTAAGACTGCTGCTTGTGTAATGAAGCAAGATCAGAGCAGTGTAAGTGCTAATTGCCAGATTTTGACTGAGCAAATTGATGATCTGCAAAGTGCAATTCAAACAAAAGACATTCAGTTATCTGACCTGCAGAATGATGTAAAAAGAATTTGTGTGAATACTAAGGCAGAGAAACAAAAATCTTTTGTACCAGAGATCCAGTCTATAGAAGGAGACCCTATAGATCAGGAAGAAATGTGTAAGAGAAAATTAAGGGATAAAGCTGCAGAACTTGATCTTAAAATCCTTGATCCAGCATCTTTTATTATTGCTACTGGAAAAAAATGATTTAGATCACGCAGCCAAAGTTATTGATACAGTTAGGAGACAACTTAAATTAAACAATCAGAAGAAGGAAAGTTTAATTGTTCAAAATGGAGAACAGAGAGAGACCATGTGCTTAGCCACACCCAATTATGATTATGAACACGTCACAGGCAGGACGAGAGTCTCAGAGCAGACAGGAAATACTATTTGTTTCTATTGTAAACGATTTGGTCATTTGAAAAGAGATTGTATTCATTATAAATTAGATTTACAAAGAAATGCTTTGGAATTAGAAGACCAAAATATAATTTCTGAACAATCTGCTCCTCCATGTTCCAACAATAGTCTGTCTGAATTGCCTTATGCCTCAGAAGTTTAAAAAGATCAGTTCACTGAGAGTTAACAACAGCTTAAACAATATGGTAAACAGCGCTGTTGTCATTAATAGGAGTGGTTTATTGCCATTGCCGAAATTTAAATCAGGATCAAATCGAGATTCTTCTTCCTTACCGTTGGAATATGTTGCTCCAATTTTATTGGATGAAAGTGGAAGGCCCAAATCAACATTAATTGATTCTTCCATGTACTGTAATGTTGGAAGTATTTGTACAGCAACTGCTGACATGTCTTCAGATCATAAAATGGCCACATACAGGAACCAATCTTGAATTGGGACAATTGGTTAGATCACATAAAGATCTTTCAAGTCAAAGCAAAAATGATGCAGGTTTATTTTACAGATTTTGAAGTTGACATTGAAGGTAGAGACCCTAAGCCTCAACCTCAATACAAATTGCCATTAGAATCATTAATCCAATTTTCTTCCATTGTAGATGAGTTTTTTACAGCAAGGAATTTTAAAGAAAGTACAATCAGTGGTGAATAATTGTATTTGGCCTATCAAAGCTGATAATTCATATTCTTTATCAGTTGATTTCAGGACATTGAACAAATGCATCACAAATAACAAATCTATTGTTCCTGATTGTAACATAATGTCACATCTGGATGCCAAGGCCAAAATATTCTCTGTACTTGAAATCGCCAATAGCCATTTGTCAGTACCCTTAGCTAAGAGTTGTCAATATAAACTTGCTTTTAGCTTCATCAACAAAGAAAACATATACATTCACAAGATTAGCCCCAGGCTTGGATATAAGTGATGGAATTGTTCATGAGTATTTGGGAAAAATATTATCTAAATTCTCTAGTCCAGAATGTATTGTCCAGCATGTAGACAAGCTTCTCTTGGCTACACAAAATATAACTGAACATATCACTCTTTTGTCTGAAATATTTATGTTGTTACAAACAGCAGGATTGAAATTGAATACAGAGAAAGTTCAGTTGATTAAGAGACAGGTGGAATTCCTTCATATGCAAATTAGTCATGGACAGAGACAGTTGTTGCAAGAAAAAGTTAGAACTATTTCTGCTTATCCAATTCCAACAAATCGCAAGGCTTTGCATCAGTTTTTGAGCGAAGTAAATCATTGTAAAGATTTTATACCCAATTTTGCAGAGAAGTCTAGATCATTATTTGATCGTTTGAGACAAAAAGATGGAGTATTTGATCAATGGGATCAAACTGAGAAAGAAGCTTTTGAACTATTGAAATGGGATTTGCAGAATGCTACTACATTAAATACTGTTGAGTTTTTGTAGTAAAATTCCATTTGTATTAGAAAACCAATGTTTCCAATAATGCAATCTCAGCAACTTTGTCACAATTAAAAGAAGGTAATCAGAAAATAATAGGTTTCTTCTCAAGAACTTTGACAAATATGGAGAAACACTTTGATGCACATATGAAAAAATTGTTAAGTGTTTTCTTTGCAGTCAAGGTAACTGAACACATTGTTAGATCAAGTAATATCATATTACAGACACCTGATTCATCACTGAAACTCCTAAAGGAAGATGGTTCAACAGAAAATTATTGTGAAAATTATCCTATATGGTACAAAACACTGTCATCCAAACATATTCAGATAGATGTAAACAAAAAGACATTTTCAGGAAAACATACCAACACATGTTTGTACAGCTGTAGGTGAGAAGTTTGTACCTCATGTTTTCAACATAGGAACTGAGAAAAGTTTGAAACCAGTATGTATTACTGCAGATCAGTCTTACACTACAAGAAGTAAGCCAACACAGAAAAACAGTTACGCATATTTCCAATTTTATAGAGATAAGATCAAAGGCATAATCCTTTGTCGTCTCTGGGTTGATACAAAACCTTTCTTTGGTTTTGAAACCAAGGTTTTGAATCATGACCAATAATGGAGATGTAGCGTCCTGTTATATTTATTTTTGTCTATTTCAGGTACTTATATAGCGTCGTCAATTTTACTATTTTATATGTAGTGCTTTTTACATATATAGTACATTCACATAAGTCCCTAACCCTCAAGGGGTGTATAATCTAAGGTCTCTAACTCACAGTCATACATACACATACTAAGGCCAATTTTAGATAGGAGCCAATTCTCCTACCAACATGACTTTGGAGTGTGGGAGGAAACCGGAGTACCGGGAGGAAACCCACGCAAGCACAGGGAGAACATACAAACTCCAGGCAGGTGATGCCATGGTTGGGATTTGAATCAGCGACCCTAGTACTGTTAGGCGGAATGCCCGCATTCTAAAATAGAACACTACAAGTCAATAAGAAATGTTATAATGAAAATATGTCTTCCATGTCATGACTAGAAATGATTTTGTGATTATGATATGCTAAATATTAACAGATAAATGTAAGAGGATTAATCCATGTAAAGTTATCAATGCCAAAATAATGATACTGCATTTCTGTTACAGGAAATGACCTAACAGTAACTGTTAAAGGAAGAAAACTCAAATATTTAAACCTTTCCGATGATAATACATTTTCCAAGAAGGAAATTTATTCTGGAAGAAGCTTTGCAACAAGAATTTCATTCATCATAGTTTTTGTTGTTCTTTTTATGTTCAATAAAGTTATTTTAACTTTACAGAGCGCTAGAAGAAGACAAGACATCTCAAGGCATCTCATAGAGGAAGAACTTAGAAAACAATTGACTTTTGACTACTGATGAAATAATTCATTCATCAGATATATTGGTTTTTTTGTGTGTACATTTTATTTTGACATGATATGTTTACCATATCAAGATGAGATCAGTTTTCACATGAACATTTGCAATCACACACTATGTATTTTCAGAAGTGAAAGGGTTAAACTTTTGTTACAACAGAGTCACTCTACTTAGTTAGAATATCTGCTGTTAATTAAGCTAGAGATAAGTTTTTCTAAGGTACATATAGAAAAACTTAGGCAAGCTTTACATTGTTATATGTATGTTTTAAAAAAATCATTTGATATACATGTATGGATTGAAGTTAGAGAACATATGTTATGGTTAAATGTTGATAAGGTATTTTGAAAAAGATGTAGTGGATTATAGAACTGTGTGCTACACACATTTTGGAGGGAAAATATGAAACATCTATTTTTTAAGTGACATATTTTAAAGTATTGTACTATAATGTTACAGTTATACATTTATTAAGGGGATGAATTATTTGGTGAAAGGAAAGGAAAATAATAAGGGTAAAAATATTTTTATGTGATACATAACAAAAGGTTTATCAAAGAATTTGTCTTCCCATTATAGAATCAAATTGAAGATATGTTCAGATCAATTATCTTAAGATCCAAAAACGCATGAATGGATACGAAAGTGACGAGAATGTGTATAAATGGATTAAGATAAGGAAAATGATTAAGATTCGATAAAATCGATCATTTTGAGAGGGAAATGTTAGAAGCTTTCCTTAACCTAATATCTAATATCTTCTTATTAACAGTACTAACATAAGTATGAATGAGTTGGATCTTAATAGAATAATTGAGTTATTATATTTATATTTGTTCTAGATTGGGAAAAGTAAGTAATTAGACTTCATAGTCTGTGAATATACATATGAACATATATCTTGGGTTTTTCCTTTACATTCAAGCCGCATATGAGAGTAATTAGCTATACCTTCCCCCATCCTCCCCCATCTATGTAAGAGATAAAGTTACACTCAGACTTTGAGAGAAGTAGATTGGATGTTTTGTTTTAATACCTCTGTTGGTGTCAATTATCTTAGTGGGACTACAAGAGAATACCAACCCACTTTTAGGAGATGGTGGGGGCTGGATTGCTCTTTCAAGAGCAGAACAAAGGTTTGAGTTTCACTCACTCTATATAGAAGCCTTTATGCGACAGACATACTCACACATACACACACATATACATATATACAATCTTATTATCAAGAATTTAACTATATTTTTTTGGACTTTATTTAAACATTCTGTATGCCAATATTTTATTTCTAATTTTATGCAACATTATTATTAAATCATCTTTTTGAGTTTATGCAAGAAGTGGAAGGACTTTCTATCTGAACATTTCTCATCAATACAAGTTAATAAAATATCGAGACAATACGATATTTTACAATCTGTATCTGGTATCAGAAGGTCCACCGGGGATGCTGTAAATCACTATAGTAGTCTGTGCTATATACCAGGGGTCTCCAATGTTTTTAAACAAAGGACCGGTTGACTGTCCTGGAGACTTTAGGGGGGCCGGCCTATGGCCAGTGGGAGTAGAAATTGGCCTGGCATCTAGTGAGAGTATACAATGCCCTATCTTTGGTGTCAGTGCAAGGAATAGTGCCCCATCATTAGTATCAGTGGAAGCAATAGTGCTCCATCATTGGTGTCAGTGGGAGGAATAGTGACCCATCATTAGTATCAGTGGAAGGAATAGTGCTCCATCATTGGTGTCAGTGGGAGGAATAGTGACCCATCATTGGCATCAGTGGAAGGAATAGTGCCCCATCATTGGTGTCAGTGGGAGGAATAGTGATCCATCATTGGCATCAGTGGAAGGAATAGTGCCCTATCCTTGGTGTCAGTGGGAGGAATAGTGCCCCATCATTGGTATCAGTGGGAGGAATAGTGCCATATCCTTAGTGTCAGTAGAAGGAATTGTGCCCTTTCATTGGTGTCAATGAGAGGAATAGTGCCCCATTGCTGGTGTCAGTGAAAGGAATAGTAGCCAATCATTTTTATCAATGGAAATAATTCTGCCCAATCATTGTTGTCAAGGGAAGGAATTGTGCCCTATCATTGGTATCAGTGGAAGACATTATGCTCTTTTGTAGGTGTCTGTGGGAGGCATAGTGACCCATTATTGGTGTCAGTGACATGAATTATGTCCCATTGTTGGTGTCAGTGGATGAAATAGTGCCCAAGGGCCAGATAAAGGCAAGCAAAGGGCTGCAGTTTGGAGGCCACTGCTATATACAGTAAAAGCTGTGATCTTCTAGGTGACACTTCAGCAGATTCTCCTCTGTGCAGGGAGTCACTCCCTCGACATTGCCACCATTCAGAGAAAGTACATTCATGAATAAGTAGGTGCTAATTCATTAAATCAAATAAATCATATGATAAATAATAACAAAATGATCTAACAGCAACATAAAGTGACCAATAGTCCCAAACAGAATAAATTATAATAAAATAAATACTGGACATATAATGAGTGACAGTCCCATGAAAACATAATCCCGTAGGTCAAAGGATTTTCTTTTTCACCACATGTAAACAATAAGTGAATTCCTCACAAACCAGAAATGATTGAACCCAATTAAGGTGGTCAAAAAGCGCTTTACGATCATGTAATATGTTGACAACCAGAAGCAAGCTCTCATGGGTCAAGCATC